AAGTGCCATACACAATACATATAACCAAAGAAGAGGTGAGGAAAGTGCTAAACAAACTAGATACCTCAAAGGCGATGGAGCCATAACATCTCTCCGTGGGTTCTGAGAGAGGAAGCAGAGGCGCTCTGTGTACCACTAACAGTCTTCAACACATCTATCGAAATAGGACAGCTCCCTGAGGTATGGCAGACAGCAAATGTCCTAATTTTTAAAAATGAGACAGACACGCAGCACTAAACTACAGACGAGTATCACTGACATGCACTATATGCAAAAATTCATGAAGAGAAGATTATAAGAATGGTGGAGAACTAGAAAAGGAATGAGCATATCAGTGTCAGTCAGTTACGGATTCTGGAACGGAAAAAGCCTATTTTCACAAACCTACTGGAGTTTTGACTACGGTAGGCAGCAGTAAGACAAGAGAGAGAGGGGTGGGTAGACTGCATATTTCTTAGATTGTAAGAAGGCTTTTGACAGTTCCACAAAGTGATTAGGGGCGAAAAGCTGGAGGACCACGGCATGTATAACAGGGAAGGCACTGCAATGGATTAGAGAATAACTGACAGGACGGCAGCAGAGAGGATGGTACGCGACGACGGGTGTCGGAGTGGACGGGCTGTGGACGAGTGGGGTTCGGGGTTAGTCCTGGTGGTGCTGGTTTCTGTATGTGTAATGACAATGACGAAAGGAATAGATAGAGTGTCTCTTTTGCACAAGTGCTATTTAATGAGAATTGAATCGGAGGAGGACCAGGCAGGGACTACAAAGAGATTTAGGTCAAGCAAATGAGTTCCTGGAGTCACTCAGCAAGTGTAAAGTTATGAGATTGAGGAATAGGCAAGAAGGACCGCATACAGAATACAGTCTATTGTTGCCAAAGACTAAAACCTCCACTCAAGAAGAGTGTCTTGGGTGGAGTGTTAACACCGAAACACATCTCCTGACGCGTTTGCTAGTCGCCGTGTATGTGGAATTGACAAGGTGTATGGGACAGGATGTTCCAGAGATGGGACACACCAACAAGGGGTCACAGTTGATGAAACACGAAGACTCAGATGAAACACAGGGATGTTAGGAAGTATTTCTTACGTCATAGAGTTGTCAGGAAGTGGAATAGTCTAGAAAGTGAGGTGGAGGCAGGATCCATACATTGCATTAAGAAGAGGTATGATAAAACTCATGGAGCAGGGAGGGATTGACCTATTAGTGACCAGAGAGGAGCAGGGCCAGGAGCTATGAATCGACCCCTGCAACCACAATTAGGTGAGTACAATTAGGTGAGTACACACAAACAGGCCCAAGGTTTATCGACATGTGCCTAAGACAAAATGGTAACTAACAAACACACACAAAACACAAACACACACACACAACACACACACTCACACACTCACACACACTCACACACACACACACAACACACAACTCACAACACACACACACACAATGGGACCTTGATACTCAAAGGCGGATGGACCGGACACATCTCTCCATGGGTCTTAGAGAAGGAGCAGAGATGCTGTACGTGCCTCTAACCACAATCCTTCACACATCCCTTTTGGAAACTGGGCAATCACTACCTGAGAAAAAGGAAGACAGTAAATGTAGTAACCCATATTTAAGAATGAAACAGAAACGGGCGTCTAAACTACAGAAACCCTGTGTCTCTGACATGTATTGTGGCAAAGTCATGGAGAAGATTATCAGGAGGGAGAGTGGTCGAACACCTGGAAACGGACAAGATTATAAATGAAAAACCGCATGGGTTCATGGAAGGCAAATCTTGTATCACAAATCCTCCGGGAGTTTTTGACAAGGTTAACAGAAGTAAAGACACGAGAGAGAGGGGTGGTTGTTGCGCATCCTAGATGCAGGAAGGCCTTTGGACACAGTTTCCCACAAGAGATTAGTGCAGATAAGCTGGAGGATTCAGGCGCATGTAACAGGGAGGGCACTGCAATGGTCGGGGGAATACCTGACAGGGAAGGCAGCACGTGGATACCTAAAGTCGGTGCGGATCAGCCGGGCTGTGGCTCCGTACGTCGGACTGCGGGCGGCCAGCAGTTACAGCCTAGCTTGATTCAGGCCCTGATCCATCGGGAGGCCTGGTCATGGACCGGGCGCGGGGGCGTTTGCCTACCGGAATAACCTCCAGGTAACCTCCAGGTAACCTCCAGGTACGTGATGAGGTATCACAGTGGGCGCCTGTGACGAGCGGGGTCCCACAGGGGTCAGTTCTTGGGCCAGTGCTATTTTTTAAATATGCGAACGACATGATTGGAAGGAATAGACTTGAAGTGTCCATGTTCGCAGATGATGATGAAGTTTGATGAGAAAGGAATTAATCGGAATGAGGATGAGCAAGGACTGCAACAAAGAGACCTGGACAGGCTGGACATGTGGTCCAGGAAACTGGCTTCTCGGAATTCAATCCTGCCAAATGCAAAGTCATGAAGACTTGGGGAGGGGCAAGAAGAACGCAGACAGAGTATAGGCTAGGTGGACAAAGGACTACAGACCTCACTCAGGGAGAAAAGAATGACTCGGCGGTGACCATAACACCGAGCACGTCACGGAGGCACACATCAACCCAAATAACTGCTTCGCATACGGGCGACTGGCAACCTGAGAATAGCTTTCCGTTACCTTATAAGGAATCGTTTCAAGACACTGTACACTGTATATGTTAGGCCCATACTGGAGTATGCAGCACCAATCTGGAACCCTCACTTGGTCAAGCACGTCAGGAAGTTAGAGAAAGTACAAAGGTTTGCAACAGGCTAGTCCCAGGGCTCAGGGAATGCCGTACGAGGAAAGGTTGTGAGGGAAATCAGATGACGGACACTGGAGGGACAGAAGGGTCAGGGGAGACATGATAACGGACATAAGATACTGCGGGGAATAGACAAGGTGGACAGAGATAGGATGTTCCAGAGACGGGGACCACAGGAACAAGGGTTCCAAAATGGAAAGATGAAGACTTCAGACGAGTCACAGGGACGTTAGGACGTTTTTCTTCAGTCTAGAGTCGTCAGGAAGTGGAAAAGCCTAGCAAGGAAGTAGTGGAGGAGGAACATACATAGGTTTTAGAGAGGTATGATAAAGTCAGGAAGCAGGAGAGATTACCTAGTAGCAATCCAGTGAAGTGGCGGGCCAGGAGCTGAGTCTCGATCCTGAAACCACAATTAGTGTGAGTACACACACACACACACACAACACACACACAACTTTCGGACGAGGTCCAGGAAGAACTTTAAAGGGGATCTAGACAGGCTGCAGAAACTGATCATTAACGGGCTCCTGGAGTTCAACCCCACCCAAGTGCAAAGTCATGAAGATTGGGGAAGGACAAGAAGGAAAGACCACTCCCCCCCCCCCCCCCCCCCCCCCCACCCCACCACCAGACCCCCCCCCACCCCCACCCCCCTTCCCCAACCACCCCCCCCCCCCCGACCCCACCCCCCCCACAAAAAAAAAAACCATAAAAAAAACAGAAAAACAAACACAGACAGAGTACGGTCTAGGGGGCCAAATCTTACAAACCTCACTTCAGGAAAAGGATCTTGGGGTGAGTATCACACCAGGCACATCTCTTGAGGCGCACATCAACCAAATAACTGCTGCAGCATGCGGGCGCCTGGCAAACCTTAGAACAGCATTCCCACGTTTTAATAAGGAGTCATTCAGGACCCTGTACACTCTGTACGTTAGGCCCATATTGGAGTATGCAGCGCCTGCTTAGAACCCTCACCTAGCCCAGCATGTAAGGAAACTAGAGAAAGTGCAAAGGTTTGCAACAAGATTAGTCCCGGAGCTATGGGGTATGTCCTACGAGGAGACGTTAATGGAAATCGATCTGACGACACTGGAAGACAGGAGAGATAGAGGGATATGATAACGACATATAAAATACTGAGAGGAATCGACAAGGTGAATATAGACAGGGTGTTTCAGAGATGGGACACAGCAACAAGGGGTCACAGTTAGAAGTTGATGACTCAGATGAACCACATGGATGTTAGAAGTATTTCTTCAGTCAAAGAGTTGTTAGTAAGTGGAATAGTCTAGGAAATGATGTAGTGGAGGCAGGGTTCATACATAGCTTTAAGGAGAGGTATGATGAAGCTCATGGAGCGGGATGAGTGACCGAGTAGCGGCCAGTGAAGAGGCGGGGCCAGGAGCTGTGACTCGACCTCTGCAACCACAACTAGGTAAGTACACATACGCACACACATACACAAAACCAATGTATAAGTGATTCACCAATAGACCAACGGGGTAAAACTCTGGCTGGAAGCAAAATGAAGTTGGCAGGAGGTGATGACAACAAATGGTTTTTCAACGTGTCCTACGACACTCGAAGTATTCATAAGATGTGAAAGTCATTGATCTGCTTCATAGATCAAGCTGCCCACTTTGTCTCGCCGGCGTCGAGTGACTCAATTTGATCAACAAGGCTAAGAAAAAAATAAGTTAAAAACTTCGAGAAGCAGTCACTCACATGATAGAAGACCTTTAAAAGAAATTGTGATGACTAAGGAAAATTACGTTAAAATACGTTAGTCAAATCAGGTCAGGTTACATTAATATAAAAACCAACACACATAATATAAAATGAATGAGAGTGGAATTCCATACTTAAAGACATGTTGGTAAGTAAGACACATAGGCAACGTTTAGGCAACTTTATTCCGAAACGTTCGGTAGGCGAAACGTTTCGGAATAAAGTTGCCTAACTGTTGCCGATGCGTCTAACTTACCAACCTGTCGGTATTGTATACCATTTTGATATTCACTTAGAGACATGCTGGGAGCAGAAAGTCAAGTAATATCCAACTGGCTAGGATGGTCCCATGTTAACTCCCACTGAGTGGAGAAGGGGAGGGAGGTAGAGGTAACGTTGCACACCTCTTACTCAACAAACATTCAACCATTTATACTACCTCCACCATTCATTCATGGTTCCACTCTTATCTAACAAACTTTTTCCCTCACAGGTGTGAGGTGGCGTTGCTTGAGGCTGAGTCTACAGTCACTGTCTCCTTCGCAAGTCATCTGGTCACAGCTGCAGTCACTGAGGTCAGTCATTCTCTCTCTCTTTCTCTCTTTCTCTCTTTCTCTTCTCAGAAGGGAAGGTTTCCCTTTTCGATTCTTCAGCTATGAAGGAGGTGTGGGCAAGTTTGCCCTAGCACCTACTCTCCTCTGCTCACCTAGTATTATGTAGGTATTTCAGTGTTTGTCGATCGTTGTGGGTCACTTCCTTGCAGGAAAAGTTCGCAATGAGAATAATAATAATAATAATAATAATAATAATAATAATAATAATAATAATAATAATAATAATAATAATAATAATAATAATGTGTATAACACAGGGTAACTTGAATAGACGAATGTATAATGTAATCACGAATGAGAATTTTTTTCTCAATTTCTCCTATCTCAAACTATCCTTCTATATCCCTGCTCTCTCGGACTATCATTTTCCATCCCTCCTCCCTCAAACTATCTCCAATCACGTTGAAACACTGAAGTTTCCCCACCTCTCTCCTGTGTCTTCCTCTTACCTGACCTTTCCTTCCACAATTCAATATAAATTCCTTATCTATATAAAAATACCATACAGATATAGATGTCAGCAGTGTTTACCTGAAGTTTACCTGGAGAGAGTTCCGGAGGTCAACGCCCCCGCGGCCCGGTCTGTGACCAGGCCTCCTGGTGGATCAGAGCCTGATCAACCAGGCTGTTACTGCTGGCTTCACGCAAACCAACAGCCCGGCTGGTCAGGAACCGACTTTAGGTGCTTGTCCAGTGCCAGCTTGAAGACTGCCAGGGGTCTGTTGGTAATCCCCCTTATGTATGCTGGAAGGCAGTTGAACAGTCTCGGGCTCCTGACACTTATTGTATGGTCTCTTAACGTGCTAGTGACACCCCTGCTTTTCATTGGGGGGCTGTTGCATCGTCTGCCAAGTCTTTTGCTTTCGTAGTGAGTGATTTTCGTGTGCAAGTTCGGTACTAGTCCCTCTAGGATTTTCCAGGTGTATATAATCATGTATCTCTCCCGCCTGCGTTCCAGGGAATACAGGTTTAGGAACCTCAAGCGCTCCCCGTAATTGAGGTGTTTTATCTCCGTTATGCGCGCCGTGAAGGTTCTCTGTACATTTTCTAGGTCAGCAATTTCACCTGCCTTGAAAGGTGCTGTTAGTGTGCAGCAATATTCCAGCCTAGATAGAACAAGTGACCTGAAGAGTGTCATCATGGGCTTGGCCTCCCTAGTTTTGAAGGTTCTCATTATCCATCCTGTCATTTTTCTAGCAGATGCGATTGATACAATGTTATGGTCCTTGAAGGTGAGATCCTCCGACATGATCACTCCCAGGTCTTTGACGTTGGTATTTCGCTCTATTTTGTGGCCAGAATTTGTTTTGTACTCTGATGAAGATTTAATTTCCGCGTGTTTACTATATCTGAGTAATTGAAATTTCTCATCGTTGAACTTCACATTGTTTTCTGAAGCCCACTGAAAGATTTGGTTGATGTCCGCCTGGAGCCTTGCAGTGTCTGCAATGGAAGACACTGTCATGCAGATTCGGGTGTCATCTGCAAAGGAAGACACGGTGCTGTGGCTGACATCCTTGTCTATGTCAGATATGAGGATGAGGAACAAGATGGGAGCGAGTACTGTGCCTTGTGGAACAGAGATTTTCACCGTAGTTGCCTCGGACTTTACTCTGTTGACGACTACTCTCTGTGTTCTGTTAGTGAGGAAATTATAGATCCATCGACCGACTTTTCCTGTTATCCCTTTAGCACGCGTTTTGTGCGCTATTACGCCATGGTCACACTTGTCGTAGGCTTTTGCAAAGTCTGTATATATTACATCTGCATTCTTTTTGTCTTCTAGTGCATCTAGGACCTTGTCGTAGTGATCCAATAGTTGAGACAGACAGGAGCGAACTGTTCTAAACCCATGTTGCCCTGGGTTGTGTTACTGATGGGTTTCTAGATGGGTTTGTGATCTTGCTTCTTAGGACCCTTTCAAAGATTTTTATGATATGGGATGTTAGTGCTATTGGTCTGTAGTTCTTTGCTGTTGCTTTACTGTCCCCTTTGTGGAGTGGGGCTATGTCTGTTGCTTTTAGTAACTGTGGGACGACCCCCGTGTCCATGCTCCCTCTCCATAGGATGGTAAAGGCTCGTGATAGGGGCTTCTTGCAGTTCATTATGAACACGGAGTTCCATGAGTCTGGCCCTGGGGCAGAGTGCATGGGCATGTCATTTATCGCCTGTTCGAAGTCATTTGGCGTCAGGATAACATCGGATAGGCTTGTGTTAATCAAATTCCGTGGCTCTCTCATAAAAAAATCATTTTGATCTTCGACTCTCAGTCTGGTTAGCGGCTTGCTAAAAACTGAGTCATATTGGGACTTGAGTAGCTCACTCATTTCCTTGCTGTCATCTGTGTAGGTCCCATCTTGTATAAGTAGGTGCCCATTACTGGACGTTGTTCTCGACTTTGATTTGGCATAGGAGAAGAAATACTTTGGGTTTCTTTCGATTTCATTTATGGCTTTTAGTTCTTCCCGCGATTCCTGACTCCTGTAAGATTCCTTTAGCTTAAGTTCGATGCTTGCTATTTCTCTGACCAGTGTCTCCCTACGCATTTCTGATATATTGACCTCTTTTAGCCTCTCTGTTATTCTTTTCCGTCGCCTGTAAAGGGAGCGCCTGTCTCTTTCTATTTTACATCTACTCCTTTTTCTTAGAGGAATAAGCCTTGTGCATACATCGAGTGCCACCAAGTTAATCTGTTCGAGACATAAGTTGGGGTCTGTGTTGCTTAGTATATCTTCCCAGCTTATATCGGTTAGGACTTGGTTTACTTGGTCCCACTTTATGTTTTTGTTATTGAAGTTGAATTTGGTGAATGCTCCCTCGTGACTAGTCTCATTATGTCGGTCTGGGGCTCCACGCATACATGTCTGAACCTCAATTATGTTGTGATCTGAGTATATTGTTTTTGATATGGTGACATTTCTTATCAGATCATCATTGTTAGTGAAGATGAGGTCTAGTGTATTCTCCAGTCTAGCAGGCTCTATTATTTGCTGGTTTAAATTGAATTTTGTGCAGAGATTTAAAAGCTCGTGTGAGTGTGTGTTTTCATCAGAGCTGCCTCCTGGTGTTATTACTGCAACAATATTATTTGCTATATTCCTCCATTTTAGGTGCCTTAAGTTGAAATCCCCCAGGAGCAAGATGTTGGGTGCAGGAGTTGGAAGATTTTCCAGACAGTGGTCAATTTTTAACAGCTGTTCCTGGAATTGCTGGGATGTTGCATCCGGAGGCTTGTAGTGTGGACATAATTTAAATACAAATATATTAACATTAATGATGTACCATTTCACTATATACAAAGTTTGTGTTACTCTCCTGCAGATGTTTTTCTTGTGCTTTTAGAACGAAGGAGCGAGCCTCCACTACTCTTTACTGTTAACAACTAAAATGGGTTGATTGCAGTGTAAATAAAGAAATATATATATATATATATATATATATATATATATATATATATATATATATATATATATTATATATTATATATATATATATATATATATATATATATATATATATGTGCAGAAGAAAACTGTGAAACAAAAGATATATGATTAGGAAAGCTTATCGAGAGCATTCTAAACTTTCCTAATCATATATCTTTTGTTTCACAGTTTTCTTCTGCACTGATCAAGTCCACAAGTTAAAAATTCGACTTAATTTTTTAATATATATATATATATATATATATATATATATATATATATATATATATATATATATATATATATATATATTATATATATAAATATATATATATATTTCGTGCCGAATAGGCAGAACTTGCGATCTTGGCTTAAATAGCAACGCTCATCTTGCCATATAGGACAAGTGAAAATTTGTGTATGCAATAATTTTGCCAAAATCATTCTGAACCTAACGAAAAAAATATATTTCAATGTGTTTGTTTAGTATTAAATTATTGTAAACAAATCTAAAATATATTTAGTTCGGTTAGGCTAAAATAAATTGTTCTTGATATAGTGAGGTTAGGTAAGTTTTCTAAGACTCTTTTGGTGCAAAATTAAAAAATTTTACATTAACATTAATGAAAAAAATATATCTTTAAACGTATAAGAGAAAATTTTAGAAACGACTTATATATATATATATATATATATATATATATATATATATATATATATATATATATATATATATATATATATATATATATATATATATATATATATATATATATATATATATATATATATATAATGTCGTGCCGAATTTGTAAAACTTGCGATCTTGGCTTAAATAGCAACGCTCATCTTGCCATATAGGACAAGCGAAAATTTGTGTATGGAATAATTTCGCCAAAATCATTCTGAACCTAACGAAAAAAATATGTTTCACTGTGTTTGTTTAGTATTAAATTATTGTAAACAAATCTAAAATATATTAAGTTGGGTTAGGCAAAAATAAAAAACTCTTGTTATAATAAGGTTAGGTAAGTTTTCTAAGATTCTTTTAGTGCAAAATTATAATTTTTTACATTAACATTAATGAAAAAATCTATCTTTAAACGTATAAGAAAATTTTTTAGGAAGGACTTAATTTTAAATGAGTTCTTGCTAATTGACCAGTTTTACATATTCGGCACGACATATATATGTATAACAATAATAATAATAAATTGTCTTGCAGCTGCCTTACAGAAGCGTCACCGTGTACTCATGGATGGATGTAGATGTCTATCAAAATAACAGTACTGTTATTAACTCCAGAACCTCAACAAAAACTCGGGTGTTCCTCCTGAGACCTCAGGTATTATCGATTTAATAATACGTTTATACTCTATTTTGAATTTTTTTTTATTTTTTTTTCTTAATATTTATTTATTTTTTTGGTGTCTTCATGTGGATGGGACACAGAAGTTTATTAAACATTTTGCACTTTGACACGATTCCTGCTCAGTTTCTGTCTAGAAAAACATGTGAAACATCAGCTTCATCTTACAAATTTACACTTACATTCTTATTTATTTCTCAGTGTCTCAGTAGTTCATGTTTCTTAAACTTCTTGTAATTTCCCTGAGGAAGATGGCTAAAATTCTTCCATCATTACTATGTAATAACATAACAATGATGGAAAAATTTTAACCATCTTATGAAAGTGATGATCATTCAGTTCTGGGGAATGGGAGATACTCAGCTTCAGTACAAAGGTAAAGTTAGTTAGATTAGCTTGATGACTTAAATCAAGATCTCTCAAGGTCATCCACGGATCTTTTTGAGGAGCTCGTAGTCATGTGAGTGACAGACAGTGAATAAAATACTGTTTACGTTTTAAAGTGTAATTAAAAACTATATTGCAGTAAATTTTGAAGTTGGGATGTTTGCAATTCGTGTGCCGAGCGCCACACGCACCTTCATTTTTATTCGGCATGTATCACACACAACCACACATCTAGCATTCTATTCGCATTAGCTAAAAGCCTGGTATCTCTCTGTAGGGGCTCCACCTGCTTTGGAAAACAGCTACCCCTTGTAAATATCAACCAATCTGAGTGAGGAGTGGGCCCCAAGCTAGTTTATTTTGTAACTAAAATTCATCTGGGAGTCAGTTCCTAGCTTGCTTTCAGCTGATTAACACATACTAGTGTTCTGTTTTCAGTATGAGTTTATGAGCTGTAGTGGGCAGGAGTACTGTTCTTGCTCACTCTGTCTGAATTAATCATAATATGTATTGGCATTTGTCTAGGTCTAATGTACATATTATTGGTGGTGGGAATACAAAGATTCTCAAAAAGCAGCCTCTGGTGTATATTTCTGTTCTCAACATTAACGATTGCTTTGGTGATTGCCCCCTTGCTGGTATACAATGCTTTATAGTTAGGTACCACAGGCCATTTTTCTGTACCTTTGTTTGTAAGAGTGGGTGTATGCTTATATGCTGTTAAAAAGGAAGTGAGTGTTAAGTATGAAAAGAATATGGGTGTCCTAGTACCATGTTAAATCAAATTAAAAGGGAAGAACATACTGAAAAGGGTGGAACTGAAGGTATTAAATCAAATGTATATGAAAGAACAATAAAGGAGTAGCCATATGTACATATTTATATATATTATTGAGTCATTAAACTTGCACGGGGAATTCAGGACAAAGAATTGTGTAGGATTGTACGTGGGTGGATTAACATCATAACAAATGATCTATGCAAAGTGAGAAACTCCTTGGATAGACATTTCAAGCATACACGAGAAAGACCTGTATGTTTCTGCTTAAGTCAGACGTCTCTTCAGTAGATTTACTGAGGACAGCCTTCGACTGAGGCTTAAATATGCTCATCTATGTTACATGTGATTCATATGTATCTTCAGGTGGTCTCTTACTTTGCAGTAATATACTTGTTTAAATTCAAACGTTGCTTCTCCCTGCCAACAGGAGCGAGGACTCCTGGATATTCCACTTTCGATCTTGCTACTGGCTGTGACCTTCTCTATATTCCTTGTCCTTCTCATCATAGCCTGCCTCTGGAAGGTAAGACTCTGCTTGTCTGCTCATTAAGAGCAGCCTAAGCTCTTTCAGGTGAGACTACATTTTTCAAGGTAAGATTGAACTCTTGCAAATATGACTGATGTCTTAAAAACAAGATTAGATTCTTTAATATAAGATTAACCTCTTCAAGGTATAAATGAAAGAATCTGCTTGGTAAGACACTGAACTCTAGGAGTTAAGAAAATAGACTTCAGAATATATGGGAAATATAAACACATATGCAGTTTAATGTGATCCTTTATTGACAACGTTTCGTTCACACAGTGGGCTTTTTCAAGTCACAAACAGATCTACCTGGTGTGGAAGGTACTTGAGTATTTATAGTCAGGTTCAGAATGTTGAGGTCAGGTGGAGAATGCTGCATCTGATGTCGGTATTTTATACCATTTATTTCCTTCAGAATATAAGACTGCACTTGAGGACGTGAAAAGAAATTTTATAAAGTAAGACTGAAGTTTAGAACCAAGACAAATCTCAGTTACTATACAATGGAAATCTCGAGAAATTAAAGACTGAAAATAAGAGATAAACTCGAATTTTTGAGTAGAGCAGAAGTGCAGTGAAGAAGTGATCATATGAGAGCGGTAGAGGATCTCACATTTAAGGATCTTAGCAATGTTGTTTTTCTCAATCTCAAGGAAAATGATAGGCCGGATAACTCATTCAAAAGCTGAGATCCTGAACAAGTGATGATTCTCAAGTCACTTCTCTCTAGACTGGAATAATGCTGTATACTAATGGCCGCCTTCAAGGCAGGAAAAAATGCTGAACTGGAAAATGTACAGAGAATCTTCACTGCTCTCGTAAGATCAGTCTAATGTCTGAACTACTGGGAAAGATATATCATAATCTAAGCACGAAAAATTCTGGAAGGGC